GGGGTGGGTGGGCTGTGGGTGTCCCCGTGCTGAGGGGTGGCTGTGTGTCTGCAGATCGAGCTGGCCATCCTGCGCTTTCCCTACGACTCCTGGGGCACGCCCTTCCAGCAGCTCAAGCAGGTGGTGGAGGAGCCCTCGCCGCAGCTCCCAGCAGAGAGGTTCTCAGCAGAGTTCGTCGATTTTACCTCGCAATGGTAAAATTTCCTCTTTTCCCTCTCTTTCCCTGGCCCCACAGGCAGCTCTCAACCCTAATTTTGGGCAGAGCATTCTCTGGGAGGGCTGGGCTCTGTGTGCCCTCGCTGAGCCTTCGCAGGTGCCCGGCACGCAGCGGGGCTGGGGGCAGCCGTGGGCTCTGCCTAGGAGCAGGCTGGGCTGCTCGAGGGGACACAGGGGATTTAGGAGCTCCTGGCCCTGATTGCCCCCATGCCAGCAGCACAGGGGTGCTGTGAGCAGGGACAGCTTGTGGCCCTGAGTGTGGAAGGACAGCAGGGTATGGGATGGCTGCATCCTGTCTCAGGGGATGTCACAGCACGTGTCGCAGTGGAGACAGCCACAAAACACAGAGTATCACGACACAATTTCAGAAAGCTTCAGCCCATACAGAATAACACCACTCCAGAAGGCTGCAAGCACCCGCTCCTTCTTTACCCAACCTTTTACACCCCTCGTGTCCATGCAGTGCACCTGTGTGCCCTCTGTTCCAGCACCCCTGGGCACTCCCTGGCTCATTGCTGCCAGTGCTGCTCACCTGCTTCTCACAGCTGGAACCTCTGCCAGGGACACAAACTGTGCCACACAGAGCCCAGTGACACAAACTGTGCCACACACAGCCCCACTGCCACGGACACAAACTCTGGCTCTCAGGACAGGTTTTGCCCGTGGTGTCCCCCTCTGCCTGGTGTCTGTCCCTCTCCTGGGGCCCTGGGGCTGCTGCTCTGCTCTCCCTGGGCCTGGCAGCTGGAAGCAGCAGGAGCATTTGGCTGTGCTGTAGGAAGAGGGCTGGAGCAGCCCCGCTGCTGTCTGCAGGCTGCACAGAGAGCTCAGGCAGCCCTGCCCTCACCAGCCCCCTCCAGCTTCCCTGCAGGGCTGGGTGCTCCAGGCAGGCACTGCAGTGCCACCCACCCGCCTGCCAAGCTGGCTCTGCATGGTGGCCACAAAGGGTGGCAGATGGACAAACAGAGAAATGTGAGACTGTTCCTGAGCTGCCAGCAAC